TCAAAGGAGGAGAGCCAAGATTTCTCAAAAATGACTATTAATTTTGGGTCCTGAACATGAGACACTTGAAAAGAGCCTAATTTTCAGAAAAAGCATCCATCCTCTGGAGATCAGGCCTGATCTAAAATTGGGGACCCAAAAATGGTAGTACCTACCACATCAAGTCAGTTTTGAAAAGCTTAGACAGAATAAACTTCACCAAAAATCACAGTGTTTTGTATTTTGGGTGCAAATTCCACATATGGTGTAATAACAGCAAAGAAGCTTTGACCTTGGCAAACAAAGCCCAAGCCAGAGACAACTACTGTAAACCCATTCTGGTTCCCCACCTTTTCTTTTGAATTTTTTTTTTTTTTACACAAGAAAAAAAGAACCCTCATGACTTCTTGGGGAATATAAACTCTCACCCGGAGTTCAGCCTCTGGTCATTTGTGTTGGTGCACCGTAGTTAAACTTTGTGATTCTTGGTAATTTTTGTTCAACTCTTATCAGAGGTGGGTGTACAGCTATAGGCAAAAGTCTCAAGTCATGAATTTTAATAATGATGGTGCTTAAGATAAAAATCTAGCTTCATAATTTTAATGAAGGGATGATAAGAGTTAGGGAGATAATCCACACAAGCAGAATTCTCAGAGGTACAGCGTAACCAGGAAATATACCTTTGTTAAAGGGTGTGGGAGTGTGTGTGAGAGAATTCTAATTCTATTCATACAATTCTAAGTTTTGAAGTAAAAAATTTTGGGTGGAAGGAAGTGGAAAACGACAGAGAAAAAAAACAAAGGGCCAGATCTTAAGCCATACCCACGAGAACAGATTTATTGATTTTAATGAGATTACGCATGTAAGGATTGCTTTGTACAGTCCACACACAACAGTCTGTGGGTGACAATTTCGTTTGTCAAATGCAGCATCACTCTAAAGCAGTGGTTCCCAAAGTGGGGTTTGCAGAAACAGATAAAACAGAATTCAGACTAGCCTTGGTGATAATCCCAGAAGGCTTCTTGGGTAAAGCGTGTTGTAATAATCATGTACCACTAATCTGTACATTGAGAAATTATACTAACAAGACAGTCTGCAATGTTCTTTTCTGGAAAGAATTGCTTAATTTGTGGCAGGGTGTGCCAGGGCTGAGCCCCGGCACCTCTGGGCTTGGTAGTTCATAGCCCGGGCACCTCTGGGCTTGCCACATCAGTTATGAAAGTAAAAAAATTTCTTAAACCCCAGCACCTTATTCATTACAAATTAAGCATTTAATTTAAAAGTCTCCATTCAGACTATGAACTTTCGAAATAAGTTTGACTCAAACATAATTTAGTCTTGAGAAAAGAGCACTGAGGCGGGGATCTGATAAAAAACAGTCTTCAAATATGTTAAGGGCTGTTATAGAGAGGCCTGTGATCGACTGTTCTCCATGTCCACTGAAGGTAGGACAAGAAGTAATGGTCTTAATCTGCAACTTAGGGAGATTTAGGTTAGATATCAGGAAAAACTTTCTAACTATATGGGTAGTTAAGGAGTAGAGAATCCCCACAACTGCCAGTGTGAGTCTAGGTTTACTTGGTCCTGCCTCATCACAGGTGGCTGGACTGGACGACTTCTCGAGGTCCCTTTCAGCCCTACATTTCTGTGATTCTAGAAGTTTGAAAAAGAGCATCCACAGGCAAGCTTGTTTAATCTGTTATATATTAATGTGGAACCTTCTATTTCATGGCATTTCAATGAGTCATTAACCATAGCAACCTATTCTTTAAACACATTTGCATGCTTTTTTTTTTTTTATTACACACACACACTTTTTGGAATAAGACCGTATTCTTGTAAACAGTGGGCCTGATTTGATGCTCATGTATACTAACGCACCCATAAAGCCCTTTTACATGATCAGAGTGGTTAAAACGGGCCTTTGTGAAAATGAGATTTAGGCCAGATGGGTGCAACTCAAAAAAAAAAATCTGTGGACACATTAACAGTTGGCTACAGCAGTTCAAGTTATACTGGGAGTTTGTCACTGGAAAACATAATTGCAAAATACAAAATAATGGAGTCTAAATTAACTGTTACTATTCAAGGAAGTTTGCTATCATCATGGACTGTTCTCTGAAAATACCTGCTCAATGTGCAGCGACTGTCAAAAAAAGCTCACAGACTGTTAGGAGCCATTAGGAAAGGGATAGATAAGACAGAAAACACGACACTATAAAAATACATGGTATGCCCACACCATGAATCCTGCGTACAATTCTGATAACCCCATCTCAAAACAGATATATTAGAATTTTAAAAAGTACAGAGAAGTGCAACAAAAATGATTAGGGGAATGGAACAGCTTTTATACGAGGAGAGTTAAAAAACGGACTGTTCATCTTAGAAAAGGGACAACTAAGGGGGGATATGGTAAAGGTGTATACAATCATGAAAGGTGTAGAGTAAGTGAATAAGGAAGTTTTATTTACCCTTCACATAACACAAGGGTCATCCAATGAAATTAATAGGCAGCAGGTTTAAAACAAACAAAAGGAAGTACTTCTTCACACAACGCACAGTCAACCTGTGGAATTCATTGCCAGGGGATGTTGTGAAGGCCCAGAAAAGTATCACTGATTCAAAAAAGAATTGGATAAGTTCATGGGGGATAGGTCCATCAGTGGCTATTAGCCAAGATGGTCAGGGACACAACCCCATCGCTCTGGGTGTCCCAAAACCTCTGACCGCCAGAAGCTGGGACTGGATGACACAGGATGGATCACTTGAGAATTGCTCTGGCTGTTCATTCCCTCAAGCATCTGGGACCAGCCACTGTTAGAAAGACAGGATACTGGTCTAGGTGGACTTTTGGTCTGACCCACGATAGCCATTCTTATGTTCATATTAGTGGCTCACTGCAATTCTAAACTCATATAAAGATTAAAAAAAGTATTTAACAGCATTAAGGGCAGAGGCAGCTTAGTCACAAAAATGGCAAGCTCCCAAAGAACATTAGTTACAAAGAATATCATTCTAAGGAGCAAAACAGACACAGGCTGCTTCCTCCAACCATAAGCTACAATGGATCATGCGAAGAGGTTGGTGAGGGTTGTTTTGATGTTTATTTCTTTTCTTTTTAGTGCCTTTTTAAAAAAATAGAACAAAGTTAGCAATGCATTTAAATCAATAGGCTTCTTTGGGGGACCGATGGCCTGCCCTAAGTGACCTAGTGTTCAACCTAGGAACATTTCAAATTAGGTAATTGTCAGCCATCCTATAAATTACTGTCCTTTTTCTCTGGGGGGGGCGGGATGGAGGACCCACACAGGCCAAGGCAACAGACCATCTTGAGATAAAATTATCAAATCTTGAAGAGTTAAGAGCAGAAACATTTGCTAGTACAGATTTCAGCTGCATTCAGTAAGACCGTCTCACAGTTCTGAGGGAGCAGCAAAAACTGAAAAGCACCAGTAACTGAAATATCACAGATGTTACCTTTCAGACAACAAGCATGTGACCTAAGTCAATACTCTTCTTTGCAGTGTGGGGAAAACCTTGTCCCAGCTGGTTCAAATCAGATCATCATAGAAATTACCAGATTACTGATAAGATACTGATTAGATGTAGTGAATCAAAAGTGTGGCTAAACAATAAAGAACTCCAAAGAAGATTCAGAGCACAGTGTGGTATAGAAAAAGCATGGACTCCCCAACTCTCTCTAGTGTGGAAGGATCATATATGCAATATGCTGTTTCTGCCATTAATCAATATTTATGAACTCCTAACAAGAAAGGTGATGCTTACAAGGCAACCTAGATTCTAAACAGTAATTAAACATCACCTAGGTCTTCCTTGTAAAGTGATTGTAAATCTGAATTATTTACATGCACTTTGGAATTAAAAGGACAGCAAAGCCTTTGTAAAATAAATTTTATAAATTCTAATAGTTATTCAACAAAAGAATCTTTGTAATTACTGCTTAAGTATGGTACACAGATACAAATAAATTATTCATTAAATACAACTCACATCTGGGTTTTATTATACTCTGTAAAATATACAGGAATCTTGATGTACTGAAAGAGTGCAGGTAAATACAGTATTCAAGCAATCACTATTTCTATGTACATGCTCATTAATTCTTCAAAAAACCCACAAAATTATCAAATAGATCAAAATACTGTCCTGTTTTTCCACACTTTATGTTCAGAAAACCAGCTGATAATTTACAATGGCATTAAGGTTTCCAGTTTCACAATACAAAAAGGATAAAAGGTAATTGGGATTCAGTTTATTTGTATTTTACCTGGACATGCAAGAATCCCTTGCATGTGCGTAAGCAATTTCACTTTAAAAGTAATAGTTATAGTTAAAGCAGAACCCAATAAACTAAATACTCATTTAACAGACAAACTTCAGTCTTCCATTTTTCAGGCGCTTTTTTTTTTTAAACAGTAGTCTGTTATAAAAAGACTGAGGGCAAGTTTGTACTACACTACAGGGGCCTGCATCTTCTATTGATTTTTTAAATAGAGAACACCACAGATATTTCTTCCCGAAGATCCAACATTGTACCTTTTGATAACAGAGAAACTTTCTTTTAAATTCACCTTCCCCCCCACTCAGAACTCCAGGATTTAAAAGAAATACAATATGGAGGCACAGACTTAATCTCACTTACAAACTTTATGATGTAAATAAGTGGGTGAATTGTTGATAAATCCATTCGCTAAGAACTTTCAGCCACAACAGGGTGTCAGGAGATTACATTTAAATTTTTATGCGGTTTCATTTTCTCAGTAAATTACCCTTCATGTATTTAAATAAAAATATCTCAATTTAAAACCCAGAAGTTAAAAATCTAAAACTGTGCAACAATTACTGCTTCCCTCCCACCCCTCCCCTTGTTTATTACACTGTACATGTTTCACCCTGACTGCACCTTGTTAGCTGGTTTTTTTTAAGCTTTATAAAAGTATGACAAGTTCATTTTTGTTTAATCTAAAAGAAAAAACAAAACTGAAAGATACATCTGCTTTCTTTCATGGTACATTTAATAGTGTCGGAAGGCTTTTAGATTATAAAAAAAATCAACATTTAAAACCAAATCTAAGCTTCATTCCCAGAAATAATTAAGGTTTGGTTAAGACAACATCTCATTTAACCTATTCCAGTTTCCACAAAAAGGTATTTAATTAAAAAAATCTTTAAGTTATTTGGTCCTTTGGCAATTTGCTGCACACACAATGCCTACTGTACCAAACTCATTTATTGCCTTCAAAATGGTTTTAGTTTTATTGATTATAGTTAAATCAAATGTCCTTTTTGTTGTACAATAGTGTTGTTCATTTACACAGACTAGGGTGCAGAGTCTGGAGAAGTTACTCCTGGCACCACAAACAAAATGGTAATGTACAATTAAATAAAACAGTTTTGACATTCTTAATTTTTTTTGCTGTAGATTCCAAGTATTTTTCAAGAATTTATGCTTCTTTTGCAAAACCTGCTCTTTAAAATCCTCCTAGTGTCACACACAGATCTTTCATATGCACCCACAATTAAAAAACCCCAAAATCTTCTCGTAGGTCTGTCCTCTTGTAATCCAACACGGACTGCTTTTTTTCCAAAAGCACAATTCTGACCTTCAGATGACTGGGCTCTCTCTTCAGACCTCCAGATGAAGCTTCTTAATAGGTCTCAGAATCTGAGTCATTAAGCTCATCCTCTTCTGTATATGGGTAGCCATCTTCCCTGCCAATGTTGTTGAAACTACAATAAGAGCTATGTTCACTCCTCATGATTGGCAAGGAGTCAAACGTGACAGTTTTTGAGGTGTTGGTGTAATGATTAATGGCATTGAATGTAAGGGAAGGTAAAGTGCTGCTTGATGAAACAGGCATCATCGTGGCCAAAATGAGAGCTAGACAATCAGCCACATCCTTATTGGGAGCACAGGCCAAAGCTGGTGTGTAACCTAGAAATCAAAATAAAATCAAAACCTTTGTTTAAAAAATAGGAAGTGTACAAATTCTTCAAGAGCATTCAATCAGACAGCTGTAAAAACGTTTAAATTGCTTCGTTCTGTTTAAAAAGGAACATAAAATTAAACAATTTAAAATTACAATATCATTTATTCTTGTAAAGTTTTGCTGTTAAAAAAGTATTACAATGTTTACCTGCTGATTATAGTCTCTCTCGCTATATATTACATACATACATACACACACACACCTTAGCTAAACAGGTTACAGTATACCATACAGGCGGCAGGGCTGATGATCAGGAAGAAAGATAAAACCCTGGGAAATCAGAAGATTTGAGAGGGTAGGATTTGATTGATTTATTAGGCAAAGTTAGGAATTTTGGGGTCAGGGAGAAAAACTGGGATTTCAAGCAGCCAGGAAGTTAACTGAATGAAGACAGGTAATTCTTGTTCAGTTAACTAACAGCAACCAATAATTAATTTTGCAGGAAATCTATAGGTATTTTAAATAGCCATTATAAAAAACAATTGCAAACATGTAAAGCTCCAGGATAAGGAATATCTGCACAGCTGTTCATTTCAGAATAAGCAGTCTTACTGAAATATTTGCCCCAAGGCAAGTTGGCAAAACATTAGGGTGACCAGTGAAAGTGAGATGTTAAACAATTTTTGTACTGGTATAATTTAAGCAATCTAGGTTTTGTTACTAAATAGCAATATAAAATAAGGAGATATGAAAGAGATAAACTAAGAAATCCACAAAATATTGAAGAAATGTCAACTGCATTAGTGGGTTAGGACTTGCAGTCTCCTTGCTTCAACTTAGTACTGTTTCAAACAGCATTACATTGCACACTCAAGGTTCCCTAGTGTGCTGTACCAGCAGGGTCTACATGGACCAATAAATGCGCCACACCTTAGTATGCTTTAGAATTTAAACCCCATAGTGTGCATTACCCCACCATGTAGATTATGACCTTAAGGAGTGTGGAACTCCAATTTTGGTCCCAAGTCAGCAGTATCTCAATGAATGGAACTTCTTGTGGATATAGCACCCACAAGGCACTTTGTTTTCGGTTTTTATTTTAAGATTGCCTAGGAATTTATTAGTGTTTATCCAAAAAAAAATAAAAAACAAGTGAAAATTGATTCATGGAGGACATGTCCATCAATCGCATTGTGGATAAAAAACGGATTTAAAAAAAAATTTTTTTTTTTTTTTAAATCGGATTTTTATTTGAATTGGATTTTTTTTATAAAATGTATTTTGAGGAAAAAACCTAACATTATAGCTCAAAGATATTTTATCATGGAATAGGGGTTATAAATTCTAATTCTATAGCATGAGACAATATATTAATGTAATGTTTAAGAAAAGTTTTGTAAATAAATTCCAATAGTTCATGGATTATGGACCCAATCTTATGGAGTTCCACGGGCTTCTGTATAGATTATTTAGGTTAATCTTTCTATCTACACAATGGGACTCAGTCTAGAAGATACCATCAGAGATGCTTAGTTTTGCAGTTCTCAAACTGTGGATTTGTGTCTCCAGAGATAACATGCTTGTTAACAGCAAAAATGTTTTTAAATAAATAATATATAAAGGTGAGAAGTGACAGACCTCGATCCTATTGTCCCCCTGCAAATTTGTGTACACAGAGACAATCCCTTATCTCTCTCTAAAAGTGCAGTTTCAAAAAGTTAAATGAATAGAAGATTGTTGGGGGCGGAATAGATCTGGACAAGGAGAAGAAGTCTGGAGATAAATGTGAGAAGGGAGGGACAGGCAGTAGAAACAAAAGTGAAACTGTTTGAGCAGCATATTCCAGAAGTCTTGAGGTCTTTCTGGGTGCAGCCTTCATTGATTTGAGATCTACCATACCATTTTCTCACTAGAAGGGAAAACTTATAATGGCAGCAGGCCGTAAAAGAGACCCCATTTGGGAATATTTTAAGGAAGTTCCTCTACCTGTGGGTAAGACAGGCATGCATGCAAAGTGTTTAATCTGAAAATTTTTCAAAATAAACCACTTTAAAAATGTATAGTGTGTACCTTCTAAAAATGAAACCTACATCTATCTCTGAGTTGTGAAGAATATGTAATAAGGTTGTAACAACCAACAAGAATGCACTTTTATGTACAAATCCATGATTAAATCAAGTCTTCCTGGCTAGTGATTTAAATCAATTTGATTTAAATCAATTTGATTTAAATCAAATCCACCCTGTTTCCCTATCTCTATTGGAAACGCCTCACCTAACGCATCCTAGGATTGCATTAGCCTTTTTAATGACAGCATCGCACTGGTGGCTCATAGTCATCCTGTGATTGACCAATACACCCAGGTCTTTCCCCTCCTCTATTGCTTCCAACTAGTAAATCTCCAGTTTATAGCAAATATTTGTTAGTCTCTAAGCGCATGACTTGCACTATTACATTTCATTCAATTTCTATTACTCCACTTTTCAAGGTCATCCAGATCTTGTATGATACTCTGGTCCTCCTCTGTATTGGCAGTACTTCCCAACTTTGTCTCATCTGCAAATTTTATTAGCATACTCCCACTTTTTGTGCCAAGATCATTAATGCAAATGTTAAATAAGATTGGGCCCAAGAGCAATCCTCCAGGAACTCCACTAGTAACCGCCCTTCAGCCAGACAGTTCTCCTTTAGATATGACATGTTGTAGTCTCCCCATTTAATCGTTTCCTTACCCACCTTTGGATTAATCTCCGTCTTCTCCAATTTAACTAACAATTTCCAGACCTAGGTGGAACAATAGCTGATGCTTTGCTGAAATCAAGGTAGATTAGGTCTACTGTATTTCCTTTTTCTAAAAAATTGGTTATCTTCTCAAAGATCAGGTTGGTCTGGCAAAATCTACCTTTTGTAAACCATGTTTTAGGTTATCCCAGTTACTGTTTACCTCCATGTATTTAATTACTCTCTTTCAAAATGTGCTCTAAGATCTTGTGTACAATTGAAGTCAATCTAACAGACCTGTAGTTGCCTGGGTCAGGTTTTTTCCTTTCTTATATTAGCAATTTTTCAGTCATCTAGGGTATGACCCCCGAGTTTAAAGATTCATTAAAAAATCTTGCTATTGGATTTGCAATTTCATATGCCAATTCCTTTAATATTCTTGGAAGATGATTATCTGGGGCACCTGATTGTTATTGTGATTTTGCCTCCCAGTGCTACCTATTAACAGGCGAGACTCGTTAACACACGGTACAGGAACTTGCTATGTAGCGCTATAGATTTGCTCACTAACTCACTGACATAGAAATCGACAGGAAGTGCGGAGCGGAAACGTGTTGTACGTCATTACCGCCAATGGGGCGTGGGGGGAAGAGGAGGAAGGGGCAGCAACGTTAAAGCTTTAAGGACGGTCCTTTGCTGTGGCAGTGCTTTAACGTTGCTGACCGCCCCCATTGGCGGCTCTGCTGGTAGGGACCCTACTAGCAGTGCCGCCAACGGGGGAGGCAAAAAGGGCAGAGACGTTAAATGCTGCCGCCGCAGCATTTTAAGGATGGTCCTTTGCTGCGGCAGCGCTGGGCTGCCAACGGGGGTGGGTGGGAGAGGGCGCAGCAATGTTAAAGCGCTGCCCCGGCAAAGGACCCTGCAGCGCTTGAAGGTCCCTGCCCCTTTTGCCCCCCCTTGGCGGTCGACGGGCGGGGCTCCAAAGGGAGTAACTGCCCCGGGGCCGGCGATTTAAAAGGGCCCGGGGCTCCAGACACCGCTACTGCAGCAGCGCATCCGGAGTCCCGGGCCCTTTAAAGCGCCATGGGAACCCGGGTGGCGCGGAACAGGCGGCCTGGAAGGGCTGGCTGGGGGATGCTGACCCCTAGCCCCGCCCCTTCCGCCCGAGGCCCTGCCCCGACATCCGCACGTAAACAGGTCCATACTGTAACAAGGTGTCATCAAAGAGGCAATTTTTATTTCATCAGCATATACTCTACGTGCTAAGGAATTGTTTTTGTTGTAAAAGTAGATCCAGTTGCTCAAGCTTTTTAAGGAAACCTCAACAATTGTTATTGTCTGTTCAACTGGTGTTGTACATTAGGTAACTGCACAGACAACTCTAACAACTTGTCACATAAAATAATATTGTATTTACATGGGACAATATTAAGGAAGAACAGCAAATGGGGGGAAGAAGAGCTTGTATTAAAATTATTATTTATTTGCTGAGTATAGACATTGTGCTTGACACTGTACAGAACAGAGTAAGACAGTTCCTGCCCCAAAGGAGCATTCAATCTAAGAAAAAAGTCAGATAATTAGAGTTCAAAAAGCACCAGCTGACCATGTGACAGGGATGTTCAACAGTGCAGCAGATTTTGTTTTTAGCGTTTACAACAAATCATAGCATCTACAGGTTAAAGTGAACAATGACAGTCTTTACAGGAGATGTGCATTTTGAGGAGGATTCAAAGGAAAGGGCTTTTAGAGACTGCTGTACTGGGATGAAGAGGGCATTTCAGGCAGATAGGGCAGAACAGTAAAAGGCTCACTATTGATACTCAATGCACAGAACTCCAGATCACAAGAGATCTGCAGCATTGATAAATGTTAAGGTGACAAGTAAAACAGATTTGTTTAAACTGACCATGTGTGTCACTATTTCTACTATTTGTGCGCTATGGTGAAATTAATGCAAAGAAGAAAGAAATACAATTGCTTTTTATTGTTGAAATTTTTAAGACATGCTACTTGTTAATGACCTGTTGACCAGTGTTATCTGGAACATGACATCCCAGATTAAATGCTGAAAAAATAAAACTACAGGCCAGTCTGAAGATTAAACAAATTATTTACATTTAATAATTACTCTAAAAGTACTATTTATAATCGGGATTGAGCGTCTGTCTCGCACCACCTGGGAGAGATCTCTAACACATTCTATGTTTAAATATACCTAAAAGATGAGATGACTGCTTGTCTCAAGAAGGGATAATGGACATCTGTGCCCTCAACCACCAGTTCTTATATAGCACTTTTCAGCCATAGATCTCTAAGTGCTTTACAAAGGTGGCAAATATCATTACCCACATTTTACAGATAGGGAAACTGAGGCACCGGGAGGTGACATCACCCAGCAAACCACCAGTGGCAGGCAGAGGAATAGAACTCAGTCCAGTGTTCTATCCACTCGGCAACACTGCCTCCCCTTAGAGATTTTAAAAGCTCCAGTACTACAAGTTAAGACAGAGCTGAATACAATAAGCTCAATGAATACTAATAAAAGTGAACCAAACAAGATTCCTCCCACTCTGAGGGGAAAAAGACACATTATTCATATTCTACTCATCAATAAAAAGGATTATTGAGAGAGGATTGAGAGAGAGCTACCATGCCTCAAGCATACCCACAGAGGCATTCTAAACAAATTTAACCAGAGCATGGGAAGAGCTGTGACATAACCAGGTTTTGCAGCACTGACATGACAATGAATCATTGTAGAAAATACAGAGTCCAGAAAATGGTGTTTAGCAGAAGTAGAGAACTCATGTAGATGCTCTGCACACCTGAAGTCTGAGACTGGCTGCTATCACTCATATACTATTGATCAAAGGCACCTTTTATATGACAAGTTAAAGGCAGTTTAGCTAAAGTTATGTAGTCTTGTGAACAATTTTTGAAGGTTTTCTTAGACCAAAACTTACTTAATGTTCTGGTGCCAAATGAAGGAAAAAACTCGATAAACTTATGGCTGGGTAGCACTTGCCTGATTTAATAAAATTCAATAAAGCTTTTCAAATGTACTTGGTGACAAAGAGCTTCACAAAGACAGACAGCAGAGGAAAATTACTGAATGATTAAAGTGGTAACAGATGGAATTTAGGATTAATTTCCACCGTGACTCTTACCTAAAACTTAATACAATCAGTTATATCAAGTGAATTTAATCCTAAAAGATTAAATTGAAGCTAGGAATAAAAGTTTAAAATTAAAACACGAGGTCACAAGAATCTAGTGGCTTAGAAAGAGGTTTTATCAGCTAAGGATATGATACTGGAGGTTATTACTAAGAAGATTTTTAACAGAGTTTTAAATGCAACAATTCTCTCAAATTGGAACGTGGAGGGCTAAACTGAAGTTGGTCTATCTTTTCCATATTCATAAAAAGCCAAATTTCTATTAAATTAACACAGGGAAGATACCTGTAACCTAGACAGGCCAGCATAGAAGATATTCCAGCAGTTTTTGCATGAAGTCCATGTAATGATCCACTTACATTGATAAAACAGTCACCATGCCAAGAATTCTAGATCTCACGCCTGCAAAGGTTTTTGTTGTTCCCATGACACACCTTTTGTACTAAGGTAAAGAAAAGGCTGCAGTAGTAATGAATGCTTTCTGTTTTCTCCTTCCCACCAAGCCTACTGTGACTTCCATTTTCCTGAACTGGATTTACCAATCCCTTATAAAAGGACAAGACAGACTTGAAACTTGTGCTCTGTTAACTAAAAGCATCATCATTTTGCTATCTCAGATCCTAAGCTGAAAAGAAAAGCCAGATTGTATTCATAATGGACATCCAGGGCTGCTGAAAACAAAGAAATTAAACTATTGCTATAAAGAAAAACCAGAAACCCAAATGATAATTAAATTAGATAAAACCAACAGGTCCTTTCAATTTGAAATTAAAAGTTCAAGTTAAAAAAGTTCACTTGCTACACTTTCTTCTGAGTCCCTCTGACAATTCTGTGATTTTTACTAAAATGTTTCTCTCTCCCCTGTTGCAGTGTGAAAAACCCACACAAACAGGGGGACTGACTGACTACATAGGGGAAACAGTGAAACTGATCAGACAAATAGTTCTGTCAAATTCACAAGCTACACAAACTAAAAAAATCCCGCCCAAAATATTTTACCCTTCTAATCTCTCTTCATTTTAGAGAACTACTGATGTGGCAACCACTACCTATGATAAATAATGTTTCAGATAGATCAAGCAGTGAAATATCAGAAACATAAAAAGTTACAAGAGAAAGAGAAAAAGCGTAAAAAGTGATTGGAACTATAAATTTCACAGGCATTTCTGCTGAAAAAAGCAGCAACCACTCAATCACTTTCCTTGCTAGGAAATAAAACAGCACAAGGACTACAGAGCTTTTCAGATAGGAGAAAAGGAAGTGACAGTTGATGGAGTTAAATTCCATTATGCCCCTACAAAGTGCACGATTTCACCTTTGAGATGAGGCAGTTATGTTTCCTTGCTTCTATGTACTGCAAAGCTCTTACAAGCCAGAAGCGTGAGACCCAAAAACTGGGATCTGTGGCACATACTTACTTTTAGAAATGTATACTCAAAAGATTTTAGTGCATGCCTATTAAACCCAAGTCACTAATGTCCAAAAGTAAGAGTATACTCTGACACTGCTCTTATGATTGTTTCCAATATTGCTAAAACAATTGTATTTACACCTAATATAATCAGACTGCAATGTGGAATCAACTATTTGCGTTTGATAACCTGCATTAATGTTCCAAACATAATCAGGCTCTTCCATTTCTCCTGCTTTGCTAACCTGACCCAGCATCCACATGTCCCATTCTTAGAAGAAGGCATTTAACCAGTATAAAACTTAAGAAAGTTTACCACTTTCCAAACCAGGAGCATAAACTACTGTTCCTTACTAGAAAACCAGGTAAATTTTATTCTTACCATTTTCATCTACAGCAAGTACACTTGCTCCCTTGCCTAAAAGTTCTTGAACTACAACTGTTAATCCATTTCGAGCAGCAACATGCAGAGGTCTGTGAAGACAAACAAACCTGGTTATAGACTAAGCCTCCAAACAAGATACGAAATATTATTTTAGGAATGAAGTGCCCATCTATATTGACAACCACACTATGTATATATCCTTTATTTCTTCTGTTCCTTAACTTCTTATAGAATGTAAAAATTAAAGAAAAATAAAATTATTTTCCTTTATTTAAAAGTAAAAAAGGAAAAATTTAAAGCTGCATACTCATTCCTCTCAACAGCAAAGAACATTTCTGCAACAAAAAGTATGTACTAGTAAAACTAGTTCCTTTTTATGACATGACATTGTGAGGGAATAACTCTTAATCTGGCATGCCTTATTATAACAAAAATATTAAAAAGAACTTGTTAAAAGGGTGACAACAAATGTTCCCCTTTCCACTTCAGTGTTATTATAGCAGCTAGTTGTGTCCATAATTAAAATAACTAATCTTTCACTGCAATCTGAAAGTAGATTGCAGCACATCGGAGGAATTATGCAGGTCACTGGCAATAGTCTTTTATTAGAGTACCACTAGCAGGATGCTAGTCATAGTCTATTATATAAAATAGTTGAAATCAATGTTCCCTCTAATTTTTTACATCCATGTGCAGAATTAATTTTGTTATGTTCACCAATATGGAGGTTGGGAGGTATGGGGGCGGGACGGAGGGGTTCGGAGTGTGGGGAGGGGCTCAGGGCTGGGGCAGAGGGTTGGGGTGCAGGCCCTACCACTTGAATTCAAGTGGTTTGCACGTGAGGTGCTGAGTCAGCATACCTTAGTTATGTAGAGTGGGATATTTTTCAAAAGCAGTCAGCATTGGCTTAACTCTGCTCCCACTGAAGTCCTCCCATTGACTCCAGTGAAGGAGAGGTGAGCAAACACCAAGTGCTTCTGGAAATCCCATCCAGAAACTTTAATCTTTACTTCCTCAAATGCAGGTCTACTAACACAAATGGGAGTAATTATAATTTTAAAAGAACTCTGTCATACCTCCCACACTGAAGCTGATAATTAAAAAAAAAAACAAAACAAAACAAAAAAAAACCCAGACAACACTGGTGTTTGCTTTTTAAGTCTTTAAAGATATCTGTATAAAAGTTCATAATATTTGCTGTTACTTTAAACTAGCTTATCCTACCAAATCTTTTTTCTTCTATTTGAAAACACAGCTGTGTGCTATCACCTGCTCTTCCTAATGAAGCTACATTTTATCAAAGGTTCTCTGTTAACAGCTTGCTTGATTGGGCATTCATACTTTTGATGTCAGGATGTGCTCAGGGACAGAGCATTGCTGACGTAAAACCAGCAGAGGGAGCTAAATTATTTTTCAGGGTAGTGTAAACCTGGCAATAGGTTTTTACTACAGCTGGTCAAAATTTTGCACACAAAAATTTGGAACTCCTTTTCTCTTGAAATTTTGACAAACAGGAATAAAATTGTGCAGAAATTCTCAGTTTCTCCCCTCCCCAGCCCCAAATGTTTTTTTACTGGCTTGTTGCATGCCTTTGGTCCGTGATGGTATATGGAATTTTGCTTGATTATTTAATAGAAATCTTTAAGACAGTACATTCCCAACCAAATTTAAGGTACCACAGATTTTTGTGCTATACTATTTGATGATATTGTTTGTTATAGTTGAAAGCTTTGCATTAGAAGTAGTCATTTAAAGTACACATACTCTCTGTGCTGGTAAAAAGTGGCAATAGTAGTTGCAATTAAACTGCAGCCAGTGATACAAAACCATATAAACCTTGCTGCGTACACTCTTTTGCACTCCCAGTTCTTTTCTTTGTAATTAGCGATTTTAAATAGGTTCTAATCTTTTAACCATTAGTAACCCCAGTACCCTTTCCCAGGATTGTGGTAGTCTTAAGAGCCAAGTTTTAACCTGACTTACTGTGAAACTAGTTAAAGTGAATGCATTGCAGCAGGGGGGAAGCACCTCTCCCCTGCAACAGCAGCTCCGGGACTGGGGCCGTGGGAGAAGTGCCTCTCCCCCGCCGCAGCCCTGTATGCCACAAGTAACTTGCTCCCCACCCTACTCCCTACCTCTGCGCGGCCTTTGGTACCCTGAGCTTAGAGGGAACTTAGGTTGAAATACTAATACCTTTCTTTTAGACTGGTTTCTGAAAGCCAGAAGTTAATCTAAGATCTCCAACTGTCTCTGCAGATAGAATAATTTCCTCACAAAACAAGGCACGAAGTGGCAAAAAGAACACACAGCACAATGATTTCATTATTTACTCAAAACCTTCAACTATTAAATGTAACTTTAAATTTTCAAGGCACATCCATCAGGCAAAGCGGACAGATTTACCTCAAACATTATAAATGCATCCTCTTTTAAAGCATCAGTCGAAGAGGAGTGGTAATCTAAATTTATCTAACTGATTTTAAAAAGAAACCACAACAGGGCACACAGTATACCCAATAACTTTGGTAGATCACTTCAGTTCTATATTGACTTTCATTTATTATGAAGTTTGTAAAAATCCCCAAATTAATCTCACCACACAGAAATAAAGCTCAGTGTGCGGGCAGAAGGGAAAGAAGAGGTTACACACTTTGTGCAGTAACTGTGTTTCTTCATTTGTCCCCTAAGGGATGGCTCCACTTCACATGCACATGCACCTCTCGAGCCCTTGGTTGGAGATTTTCAGTTAGTGTCCATCTGGCCCACACATATGCCTTAATGCTTCCCCATGTTTAATACCGAGGCTGTATAGGGGTGCCTGGGCAAACCACCCTCCGCTCCTTCTCCACCTAAATGTCCTGTAAGGAACAGTCTGAAGCAGAGGGGAAGGAGAGCATCTATAGGGACACACGTCTCGAAGAACTGCAATTACTGCACCAAGTGAGTAGTGTGTCTATGGGTGCTCCACTTCAGATGGCTTCCAAGCAGTATTCCCAGATGGAGGAAGGAGCTTTAGAATAGAGTCCAGAACTGAAGACAGTACTGCAGAACCAAGTGCAGCATTGGATCTGGCAACATGGATCAGGACATAAAGTTTCAAAAATGTACATGTAGTGGCCCTATATAATTCAGATATTGCTACATTCTTCAATAATGCTGTAGATGTTGCCTAAGATCTAGTTGAATGTGTTATCACCCTTTCGGTGGTAGTGGTGGTGGGGGAAGTGGATGAATGCCTGCAACATCATGACAAGTAATACATCCACATATGCATCTTGATAATCTCGGAGTAGAGACTGAGGACCCCGTGGATCCATCCATGAAGGAAATGAAGAGCTTAGATGGATTTCCTAAATTGCTTGGTCCTATCGAAGTAGAAAGCCAATGCCCTTGTAACATCCAAGGTATGTAAACAAGATTCCTGCAGAGAAAGAACTATGTGACTTTGGGGAAAACATTGGTAGATGAATGGACTGCTAAGGGGGAACTCCGATAGAAGCTTAGGTAAGAATGTAGGGTGTGGACATAAAGAGACCTTGTCCCTAAAGAACACTGTGAAAGGGGATGGGGAGGAATCTGCCATCAAGTCTCCAATCTTCCCGACCCTACAAGCCAATGTGATGGCTACTAACAAGGCCGTCTTCATACATAAATGCAACACAGAACAGGTTGCCATTAGTTCGAATGGAGGTCTCATAAGGTAACTGAGTACCAGGTTGAGGTCCCAAGTCAGGATAGGGTTTCTAATCTGCAGACAGAGATTCTCCAAAACCCTTAATAAATAAATAGATGATACTGGATGACCAAATTTGGAGAACCCTTCTACTGGAGAATGAAAGGCTAATACTGTGGCCAATGGACCTTAATCAAACTAACTGATAACTTGATTTCTTTAGCTCCAACAGATAATCAAAGATGACAAAGTGGCACCAAATCAGGCAAGAGGCAACAACAATACCAATGGAAGACTCTCTTCCATTTCTGCAGGTAAGTACCGCAGGTTGATCTTTCTTTAGTATTCAGTAGTGCCTGTTGCACTTCTATAGAGCAGGAGGATTCTCTACGACCCATCAAGGAGCCATGCCCTGAGGCGGAGAATTGCTAGGTTGGGATGTAGCATACAACCTGTATCATGTGACAGTAGATGAGGAATAGCTGGGAGCCAAGACAACAGTTGGACACATATGTGAAGCAGGTAAGGGTACCAAGCTTGTTTTGGCCACGTTGGTTCTGCCCTGTCTGATCTTGTTCATCACCATCAGTAGTAGCAGTGTTTGAGGAAATGCATACAGACCCTTCTTCCAAGATAGAAGAAAGGCATCTCCCTAGGAGTGGTGGCCCAGACACCCTCTTGAGCAGAAAACAGCACACTTCCTGTTCCTGGAGGTGGCAAAGAGATCCACTTCTGGCAGTCCCCATTTTAGGAATATTCTGTGGAGACCTTGGGTATCTAGCTTCCATTCCTAATCCTGTGAGAAGTGTCTGCTGAGGACATCAGCTGTGGTGTTCTGAATACCTGGGAGGTAGACTGGTGAAACTCGGATCTGATGAGCTATGTGCCAATTCCACAGTTTCACGACTTTGCTGCACGGGGAGGAGTATGAGGGTGATTTTTTGAGTTGTTCACGTGGCCTGAGTTGTGAGGGTATTGAGGAAGGCTCCCCATCCCAACAGTGATGTATCTGTTGTTAAAGTCACTGATAGGGCTGGGCAACAGAAAGGAACACCTTCATAGAAACTGAGTTGATCCTTCCACCAGTCTAAGGAGTCCCTCACTTGCAGAGGAACCATCAACTGTCTGTCCAAGGTGTGTTTGATTGGAGAATATGCTGCTTTGAGCCAACTCTGGAAGCAATGGAAAGGTAGCCTTGTGTGATTTGTCAAAAAGGTGCAAGTTGCCACATGTCCCAGGACCTGAAGTCCATTCCTTATTGTGGTCCAAGGGCTCCCCTGAACTGCCCATTCAGACATGACAAAGTTAAGAAGCTGTCTAAAGGAAGATGGGTTCTGGCTGTCAATGAGTCCAAATATGCCCCTAAAAACTGTATCTTCTGTACAGGGGTTAGATGTGGACTTTTTTACATTCAGCTACAGACCCAACTCTGGACCACAGCAAGGACCAGGGTAGAAGACAGCACTGCTTCGTAGGAACAGCCCTTGAGTAGCCAGTTGTCAAGGTATGGGAAGAATTGGATCGCTTCTTGTCAGAGGTAAGCAACCACAGGACTTTTGAGAACAACCTTGGGGCCAAGGAAACACTGAAGGAAAGCACTCAGTATTGGAAATGATCCTAGTCTATAGTGAAATATAGGTATTTCCTGGGTGATGGGTATATTCTTATACGGAAATACGCATCTTGTACTTTGAGGGCTGAAAACCAAACCCCTTTCTCTAATGAAGAAATCATAGCTGCTAGAGTCACACATTCTGAACTTTTGAGACTTTACAAACTTGCTTAGAAGTCTTAGATCTAAATAAGATCCTTGGCACAAGGAAACACTTAGAGTAAAATCACTAGCCCCTGTGAGGAAGAGGAACTGGCTTTATTGCTCCTAACTGAAAGAGACAGTTCATTTCTTGTCTCAATAAAAGCTTGCAAGAGCGGTCCCTGAAGATGGATGGGGTGGGGGGGGGGTGTCAAAGGGAGGGAGGGACATAACATTAAGGTATACCATCCATTTTATGACCTCTATGACCCAGTTGTCTGTAGTGATCCATCTCCCAGCATGCTAGAACTAGGCAAGGTGGTCTCTAAAGGCAGGAGGTGGGCTAATGGATGCAGCTGTAAATCCAGAGGTGCAGGAGGATGTGAACCCTTGACCAACCCATCAAACCTGTTGCTTTGGAGATGACTGGGTGATCATGGAGGACGGTTGGGAGGCCCTCTCTCTCCGAAATCTCTGTCTCTTTCGGGGGGGGGGGGGGGGGGGGAGAGAGAGAGAGAGGAGGTGTTAGTGGACCTACGAACCCGGAAAACTGAATAGCATGCGGGCAGTCTGGGACATACTAAACCTAGTCTTATTTGTAGGTGTATATATACCCAAGGATTATAAAGTAGCCCTAGACTCCTTTATGCAAGGACTCATCTGTGGTTTCCAAGAACAGCTTACAACCATTGAGGGGGAGGTCCCTCCACGGTGTTCTCTATTTCTCAGAAATCCCAAGGGATGGAGCCAAGATGCCCTGCACACCACCACCAACACTATGGAGATGGACCTGACAACAGTGTGGGCTGAATGGACATTGCTAACTGAAAATCTCCGATCAAGGGCTTGAGAGGCATATGTGCATCTGAAGAGGAGCATCTATAGGGACACTACTTGAAGAAGAATTGCACCTATTTTCTGTAGCTCAAAATATTAAAGCTCAAGAAGTAAGAAGCATTTAACACCATGAATAAACTGAAATCCATTTGAAAAAGTTATTTACAATTTGGGCCTACTTCTGCCAGCATTCATCTTGCTAAAAAAACTTTACATAATTTGTGATGCACTTGGTTTAGAACTCAGTATAACGGATTGTAAAATAAGCTTCCATACCAGTAAAATATTTTAAACATTAAAATTATTCAAGTTTTGTGCAGCTCAGTGCATGACACTTCTTGCCAGTGAGTAAAAGGTCACTGATTTTCCCTGGAGATCCACATGAGCCGTACAGTTGATTCAGGTTGTTTGGAAGAAGTTAGAAGAGACTGTCTCCACCCTCCGTAGTGTGTCCCCATTCTCTTTATCTTCCTTTGTTCCCCAGCTTGTTTTCTCTCCACCTCTTTCTGCCTCTCATTAGCCATGCGCCAGGGCAACCAGCCATTGCCTCAGCTACATTCTTCTTCTTGCTTAGTGTGTTCCATGCTGCTTAAGATCCAATATGGTGAGCAGCAAGAGCAGGAGCCTAGCTGTCTAATTCCCAAAACAAAGCAGCCCCTAATTGACAGAAGGTGATACTGTAAGGAAATCCCTTGAGCAACAATTGGATGAGAGAGATTCCAACAGGGGAGCAGGAACAAGACAGGGTTGCTAATGCTAAAACATCCAAGAGTAATTAGCAGCCCTGATAAATTTTTATGTTTTCCTCTGATTGTTAAGGCCTAATTAAAAGATTTTAGAAATCCGTGTGGGTAGGTGTTCTAGGCTGCCAATATCACTTTTTAAGAGAAAATAAAAACAGAAGAATCAGTTATTAAAATCCTCCATCCCAGTTCCAAATACATTTCACAGTTTTATAGTACGAAATGCTTCTTACATTTGAATTTCCCTATAACTGGGCTCAAAAAATAGAGTTCTGAGATAAAAGTTTTTAGACGTAATGTTAGCTAGAAAATACCAGATTGCCACATTGTTTTAATAAAAGTAAACAAAAAGTACTCTCCAGCTAGCATTTTCATAATTAGTTAACTCATCTGCTTTTTTTTTTTTTAAACAGCAAATCAGACATTTGTAACAATCATTGGAATTAACTACTATTTAATTTTTAATAGAAAAAGCTGAATAGTGCTTATAAAGAATTAACACCACAAGACTACAGTCCTCCAGATCATCTCAGGATTAGTGTCATTCCTGGTAGAATTCTTTGAGCCATGATGACCTAAGATTTTTCCAGCATCCCTTTCTCTTATTCAGATGGAAACCTAAACACTTAAAAATATTTATATAATTATTAGCTTTACTAACAGCAGAAATATATTGAAAATCCAACTGTAAAATATTGTTCAGTGGCCATACATACGTTTGCAAGGCTGCATTGGTGGCATTGATGAGGTTTCTATCCGTAATTTTCTCCAGTATTAACAAGGCACTAGTTTCATGACCCTAAATATACAGGAAACGTGTTTGTCAGATAACACACATTGAAGAAATTGTTTTGTATGTCTTTTTGAAGTAGTTTCTGGAGATTTACAGAGTTTGACAAAGATCATATTTTAAAAAATAGTTTTTCATTAACAAACAAACATGCAAAAAAGAGCTCAAATAGAAACTGACACACACCTTGCTGCAAGCCAAATGGAGTGCTGTGTTTTTACTGCTATCTTGCAAGGTCAGATCAGCCTTAGCACTGCTAACCAGCACCTCTGAAGGAAAAAAGTTTGCATTAACTAAAAAGTGTTTCTAAAGGAATTATCTATTTTCCACTTTATAAAATGAAGATTAAAACCTAAAATAATACACTTCTAATAAACATGTGTGAATGCATAATATATGTTATTTTAAAACAACGTCTTTAGTAGAATATTACTGTACATTATTAAAAGTTAAAGTAGAAGATATTTAAGCTCTCTCTTTACCAACGGTGTTAGTTTGTCCATTTTCAGCAGCCATCATTAGAGGAGTCTTTCCAGAAGAATCTACAGCATTTACTTGAGCATTATGACTGAGTAGAAGCTGTAAACACTCCACATGATCTGTAAAAGCTGCTGCATGAAGGGGGGTTCTAAAAGAAATCAAGAGGAAATGGGCTTACATCCAGGAAACGTACATAATGCTTTATTCACAGGTGCAAACTTTGGCTGTGATCCTGCAATTGTATCACTGTGGGCAGTCACTACCATAAAAATACACTAAGGCCATTATTGTTAGAGGGGTCACAGTTGCTATTATAAGATCATTTTTCAGTTTTTAAAAATAATTGGCCTCAAATTTAAAATGAATATTTAGCAACCAGTAAGTCCATAATATGGACAAGGATGACTTAAAAAATAAGATGGACAAAATACTAAAATATAGTTAATAGGCATAAAGATTTATATTGTACAAATTTTTATACAATTATAAAAATGCTCAAACTCTCCTACACAATAAAAAACCAATTCAGCTCTATTAACACAATACATGGTTTTTAAAAATCCCCAACAACATTGTCAGTATATAACCAAAAAATGCCTTTATATAGAAAAGAAAACAAATATGCCAAATAAGTTTAAAAAACATTAAGGCTATGACACAAAAGCAAGGAGATTACTGTTTGCAGTCCACTGTTTCCTAAGTGCAGTTATTATATTCCTACCTTCCTTTTGCATCTGTTGAATTTACAATGCCAGCACCCAACGTATCGATTAACATTTCAGCAGCACCTTCATTGTCATTTATGCTATTAAAAAATTAAACAGGCTGTTACTTAGAGAATGATTGAGCTTTTGTTAAATATTGTAATGAAATCTTTTACAGTAATCTTGAACTTCCTTACACAGCACAATGCAATGGGCTGAAAGAATTTCCTTCCATTTTCTGGAAAACTTCCTGTTCCAAAAGAAGCTCTACACAGCTGTCATGACCTAAAAGTTTTAAAATCAGATATTAAAAACAAAACAAACAACAAACACAGCTAAGGTAAATTAAATGACATTTCATTTGAAAGTCTTAAATGCACACTTGAATTACTTTAGATGTGGCCGTATCTGGGGATTAACAAAAACATGGTGCGTTTTCAGGAGTCTAGAAGCCACAAGTACAATCAGAATACTAGACCCAGTACTGCAGGAGTTTTATGACATTTGAAGTCATGATGCATTGGCTGGGGCACATGAAGAATGTTTAGCTAATTTAGTTCTTATAATATAGTAGCTTTACAGTTCATTCAATAGACTAACCACTTAGTCCAGTTGGAAGATTTTCTTCCACTGTACTCCTCTCTCTAGTGGAAACAGATTTTTTGGGGTTTGCTTTTCCCCCCACTGAACTGCTGAATAACGTGGAGTCACAAATTGAGTACATCCACAACATGGGCTGAAAGATAATCATGACCCAAACTTTAAAATAATTTAAACTGTAAAATTATAAACAAATATGTTCTTGCTTCTATATTATTCACTGTAATGAATTATCCCAGTGTATATTCCCTGTATACACAGTGATATTTACTCTAACTTTTAAAGTCCTCTCTTAGGTGTAAGCTCCTTTTATATAAATACAGCAAGAAAACATCTGCCTCTTGTTTGATTTTGGTAATTTTCTTCTCTCCTGAACTATTTGCTCTATTTGAACTATGTTGCGGGGACAATGGTCTCTCCTGCATCCTCACCCAACTGAAAAAACTTTAGATTGCAGTGTTTCATCTCTCTCTGAAAGGGACATCGTTCTAGTGGGGTTTTTCCTGGAGTTTGGTCATAAATAATGCCACTGAAACTGATGTGGATGACAATGCTGATAAGCCTCTGTGTGTCATATTGGAAATTCTCTCACTGATTCTTCAGACAAATACCAAGAATAAATGATGATATGCATATTTAGAATACAGAGGTGAAATGTAAGTACGGATTAATGTTGTAACACAGGGCCTACAGCCTCAGGCTTGTAAAATATTTACCTTAGTCAAACAAGGCCTCAGGCCTAAAGACTGGTTAGTTACTCATGTCAGCCAATGACTGACCCTATATCATAAGATGAAACAGTCAACTGCTGAAATGTAGGAAATATACGTGGCAATGTACCAGTTAAACCCGGTCTGAGTATTTTAGGGATTTTTCAAACAAAGCGTCAGCAAAGTCCTAACCACCAGCATGGTAACCGAGAGACGTACATGTTAACAAGTATAAGGGGAACTAACAAGTTAGCCTAAGAAAACTGGATCACACCAAAGGTAGTAGGATGTGGAATTCAAATAAGGAAAAGAGGTTGAAGCCTTCATCAATATGTATGAACCAAGTAGGTGTCAGCGAAACACATTATAAAAGATTAATCCAGGCCTGCGTGTGTGAGGAGATCCCAGGCTGACCACCACTGGTGCTGATGATGATGATGGTGAGAATGACAACGAGGATGACGACTGACACTTTGAGTTTCTCCACAAGGGATGGTGTAAGTAAAGCAAATGCTAGATGTTCCGTATTGTTCTCTCTCTCTCTCCCCTCTACCAGACTGCTGTGTGTATATTGTTGTTTGGTTGGCCAATACAAAGTAATTATTACAAAAAGAGACTGTTGTCCCTGTTGTGCACCATTGTCCCTCGTTTATTGATAACCTCTCCTCTGTACTTGATTTTGGAGCTGAACTCTCACAGACTGGGTATAAGCCCTCAGACTGGAGTGGGTAATTATTTAAAATAACCTGTAACTACAGATAAGGCTACACCAAACAACTTAGTTTTCTCCACTCAAGCACACCCGCAATTTTCATCTTCCTATTTACTGTTAATCAGAGCTTTCCAATCACATAACAAAAGCAAAGGAAAACATTAAATATTTTCAGGATCTGCCTACATGCCTCCAGCTTCCATCCAGGACACACCACACGATCCATTGTCTACAGCCAAGCTCTAAGATATAACCGCATTTGCTCCAATCCCTCAGACAGAGACAAGCACCTACAAGATCTCTGTCAAGCATTCTTAAAACTACAATACCCACCTGCTGAAGTGAAAAAACAGATTGACAGAGCCAGACGAGTACCCAGAAGTCACCTCCTACAAGACAGGGCCAACAAAGAAAATAACAGAACACCACTAGCTGTCACCTTCAGCCCCCAACTAAAACCTCTCCAGCGCATCATCAGAGATCTACAACCTATCCTGAAAGATGATCCTTTACTCTCACAGATCTTGGGAGACAGACCTGTCCTCACTTACAGACAACCCCCCAACCTAAAGCAAATACTCACCAGCAACCACACATCACTGAACAAAAACACTGACCCAGGAACCTATCCTTGTAACAAAGCCCGATGCCAACTCTGTCCACATATCTATTCAAGTGATTAGGCCCTATGATGGTGTCACATCAGCCATACCATCAGGGGCTCTTTCACCTGCACATCTACCAATGTGATATATGCCATCATGTGCCAGCAATGCCCCTCTGCCATGTACATTGGCCAAACCGGACAGTCTCTACGCAAAAGAATTAATGGACAGAAATCTGACATCAGGAATCATAATACTCAAAAACCAGTGGGAGAACACTTTAACCTGTCTGGCCATTCTATGACAGACCTGCGGGTGGCTATCTTAAAACAGAAAAACTTCAAAAACAGACTCCAACGAGAGACTGCTGAGCTGGAATTGATATGCAAACTAGACACAATCAACTCAGGGTTAAATAGGGATTGGGAATGGCCGAGCCATTACAAACATTGAATCTATCTCCCCTTGTAAGTATTCTCACACTTGCTTCTTATCAAACTGTCTGTACTTGGCTATCTTGATTATCACTTCAAAAGTTTTTTTTCTCTTACTTAATTGGCCTCTCAGAGTTGGTAAGACAACTCCCACCTGTTCATGCTCTCTGTATGTGTGTATATATATCTCCTCAATATATGTTTCACTCTATATGCATCCGAAGAAGTGGGTTGTAGCCCACGAAAGCTTATGCTCTAATAAATTTGTTAGTCTCTAAGGTGCCACAAGTACTCCTGTTCAATTTGTAGAAGGATATTTTGTTCCTTGACTTATTTCCTGCAAAGATATTGTAAACTAATGTTTGTCAATTACTGCACCATAAAAAGAAAGCTTTTAAAGATTCTAAATAAAGATTCTAAATAAAGAAGCCAATCTTGGATGCCATTGCATTGTGTTTCTGGAGTTTAGTACTGCATGTTCAAGGATCCTTTTTGGCAAAGACAAAAAGAAAGATATATAAAATCTAGCCCACATTACTCATTGGCCAAAACAAAAAAATATGCTTACACTTGTCCCCAAATCATCATCAGATCCATTACTTAACCACAAATTAAAAAAAAAAAATGCTTTGAAATCTTACAACCAAACATGTTTAATTTGCTTATTGTCAACCACGTATTAGTACATAGCAGGCTGTATATACTAAGAAAGCTATTGTTCAAATAGACTGCAGAGAGTTCACTACAAGATCAAAGCTCACATTCTAACACAAATGCCCACCCTGGAGAAGCAGGTTTAACTCAACCCATTTCATTTGTTTCCATTGCTGTTGTCACCTCTCTTTTTTAGCGACTAAACTCCCACAGAAGTAAGAGCATGGGTACATAGTAGTCAGTCAAAATTCAACTCCAATGCACCCTTTGCAAAATACACCAAGGAAAATGTATTTATTACTTCTTGCTTCAACAGCTTGACAAAAACAGTCTCAGAGTTAGTAATCCTACCTAACTTTTCCTCCTCCACATAAAACTCCTTGGATTTTTTTTTTTTTTTTTTAATATTTTTAATATTTGTAGTAAAAGATTTGCCTAGTAAGACCGATTTTAACTAAATTTCTTAGAATTTTTTTGTCTACAGCCATCTCTGCAATTTTGACAACTTTAAAGAAACTGCAGTTTAGAAAGTACATTTTTTTTATTTTTCAAGATACAGATAACGAGACTGCATACGTCATGAACAGATGTAAAACTGAGAGTATGCAGAAATGGAAGGTAGACTTCCTTCTCTCTAAAACTTAAGTGTTGACTAATTGATTTTATTTAAATTAGACAAACTTATAAACAATGCATATTACTTTAATTTTATTTTTTGCAGGAAGTAGTTCTAGCTAGACTAGCGATTGCATGTTCTCATCTCATCTCACAGTAGTTTGACATGAAACTAAAGGCTAGATAGTTATGGAATGAAAACATCCAATTTTTCTGTTGCACTGAGACACTGTGGTCAAATTCACAGTGGATCACTCATCAATAAGGCTGTGAGTTTATCACGGAGGTCACGGATTCTGTGACCTCCATGACTTCTGCAGCCTGCTGGTGTGCCTGGCCCGAGGCCTGGACACACCTTCGCCTAGGAGCTGAGCGAGGGGGATGTTGCCACTTCCGGGGAGCGCCACAGGTAAGCACCTCCCAGAACCTGCCTCACCCTGTCCTGTGCCCCAACTCCCTGCCCCCTCCCACACCCAAACTCTTCTGCTGTTGCTGGGGGGGTGGGCGGAGACAGGTACCCCCCCCCCCAAGCACCAACGGGGGTCCCGGGCCGTGCCTCCCCCTCCACCCCCCAGCACCAGTGGGGTTCCTGGGCCACATGCCCCACCAGCACTAGTGGGGGTCCTGGGCCGCCCGCCCAGCATCCACAGCACCCCCAGGCAGCCCTCCCTCCCCCAAGTTTCCATGACGGATATATAGTAAAAGTCATGGACAGGTCACGGGCCATGAATTTTTGTTTACTGCCTGTGACCTGTCTGTGACTTTTACTAAAAATACCCACAACTAAAACACAGCCTTACTCATCAAGCATTCACAAATTTAGTTTTGCACATCTGGTAATTTTAGTTTATTCTTATTCTATTCAATAAAATTAGTCTTAGAGATATAGTCTGTAGCTTTGCCTATAAGTATAGACTGTATCGCTATTCCCTCAGCACTAATTAGGAAAATGAGCTTTAAGCTCTTACTTCTCTGATTAACATATTGCAGCAAGGCAGAAAATGAAGTAAATGAGAACCTTAATTACCTGTGAAGATTAGGTTGTGGCTGTGTCATTAAGCAAAAGCTCTGAGTGAACCTCTCACCCTCCAGAACGTACTGAGGCAGCAAGCAAAAGGAAGGGGAAATGCTATGACCCTTCCTGATGCCTTTTGTTCTTCAAATACTGTACTTGTACATGTGGTTTGATCTGAGGCAGAAGGATCTTACGATATCAGTGAAATACTTCAAGATGAGTTAATGTGGAATTATTTTATTCTGATTAAACTACTTCCTAATTAAAATAATTTCTTGGGATAAGTGGCACCATTTCTGCTTCAACAGTGCTATCCTATCCAAATTTTCTCTTTTATTTTTCAACATTTTTACTACTTTTTAAAAGTACATATTAAAACACAGAAATAAGCACAGAAAGACAGTATATCATATTAGATATTGGAGTTACTATACAAATAAATTCAACTTATTTAAAAATTATTCAACTATTGGCTTGAACCTGCTCCCATTAAATGTTGCCTGAAGGGTTCTGTTTCATAATATTTAGAAACTAAGGATATGGCTACACTACCTGCCGGATTGGTGGGCAGCGATCGATCCAGCGGGGGTCGATTTAACGCGTCTAGTCTAAACGCGATAATCGACCCCCGAGCGCTCTCCTATTGACTCCTGTATTCCACCACCGCGAGAGGAACAGGCAGAGTCGACGGGGGAGCGGCAGCAGTCGACTCACCACAGTAAAGATCTAAGTACGTAGCTGAAGTTGTGTAACTTAGATCGATCCCCTCCACCCCCCCAGTGTAGATCAGGCCAAAGACTCAAATATATGTCAACAGAATGGTATATATTCAGTGATTCACAAGAGTTGAGAGCCTTTCCTATAATGAAGATTTGTCACAGTTAGTACAGTAGTACCCTCAGAGTTACAAACACCAGAGTTACGAACTGACCAGTCAACCACACACCTCCTTTGGAACCAGCAGTTTGCAAACAGGCAGCAGCAGAGACAAAAAAATAAAAATAAAAATAAAAAAAAAGCAAATACAGTACAGTACTGTGTTAAACGTAAACTACTAATATACAGGAAAAGTTTAAAAAAAGATTTGACAAGGTAAGGAAATTGTTTCTGTGCTTGTTTCATTTAAATTAAGACGGTTAAAAGCAGCATTTTCTTCTGCATAGTAAAATTTCAAAGCTGTATTAAGTCAATGTTTAGTTGTAAACTTTGTAAAGAACAACCAAAATGTTTTGTTCAGAGTTATAAATAACCTCCATACCTGAGGCGTTTGTTACTCTGAGGTTCTACTGTGGATGGATGGATGGACAGATGGATAGGAGTGATGTAAATATTAAGAGATATACTTAGGTCAATTTTTTTTGATATACATACAAATCGTGTGTGTGTGTCCAGAGTTACCTATTTTGCATATCTGAAAACGGGATATGTAATGATTTGTGTTTTTGTGGATGATAGATACCTTTCCCCCACAAGATAATCTGAATAAAAGAACAGGTTACTGTATGATTAAACATGCCCTGTATCTGCTTAACAGCTAGAAAGAGTCTAAACCTTATAAAGCCTAGCTTGTAAATTGGTTCTAATTTAATCCCCCCCCCCCATATAACACGTATATACAAATAACAAAACACACCACACCCACAAAAGTGTTTTTTAAATGTCTAATCACTAACAGTTTTACATATTACTTCCAAAACAAACTCAAAACTCAGTGTGGGTCTGGGAAGGGGAGACGTGACAGGGATCTTCAGCAAGGTAGTTTTTTTTTTCTTTTTCTTACTTGTTTTTCTGTCCTGTTTCTTGCACTTTTTACATCAGAGTATCAAGTAGGAAGATATACAGCTACACAAATGTTTGCATACATGGTTGAGTACTAAACACTAAGATAAGTAATATATTGAGTCATACAAAAAACGAAAAATGTAGCAACTATTACAAAACCATACCCCAGGATGAGCTAACTGATCATTCAGAATCTTCTGGGGTACAATAACAACAGGAAATGATGGGCAAAGAAAAAGAAAGGCGGAATCTACTTATCTAGGAGAACAATTCAAAGATAGGAGTTCTGAAAATACTGAATCATGCTAATTCTGCTTCTCTGGGCTTGTCTATATGAATATTTAGTTCGCAGAAAGTTAGGGTGTAAATCTATCCTGCACTGCCCTGCTGCCGCACATTATAAATTCCCTAATGCATTTTAATATACTCCTGTTTCAAAGAGGGGTGATTTAAAGCACACTAAGGAACTTTTAGTGCATGGAAGCAGTGTCCACATGGGTACTGAGTGTGCAGCAGTCTAGTGCAGGGTAAATTTACACTCCAGCTTGCCGCAAATTAAGTCTTTGTTTAGACAAGTCCTCTACTAAAAAACAACAACAGAAGCCGCCATCTATTTCACTTGCAGCAGAAATAGGTACATAGGTACATGGCAAATGCACACACAAGTTGGTATAAATTTCCTTCATCCTCCTTTTCTCTGTTCCTTCTGCTTGTTTGTTACATCTGCTTGTGTCTTGTCTTATCTTAATTAGATTGTGACCTCTTTGGTGCAGGTTCTGTGATTCTGTATGATTGTATAATGCCTCCCTCACTGGGGCCCAATACTGACTGAGGACTCTAGGAGGCACTATAATAATACAAATCCCTACTTTAAGTACAAAATGGAACTCAACCTTAAATATGGAGTTGTGACCAGTGCCTCTATAATAAATAAATAGCAGCTAATGAGTTTTAAACAGAAAGTTGTGGTCACTAATAAAAGGACTCCTGAAGTCTGGTGTTGCAAAATATATTGAAATGTCAAAGTGGATTAGTTCACTATTTTGTTTCTGAACTTTCCCCCTTGATCTGTTTGCTCCTCAGTTACCTTATATCTGCTAGCTTTGTAAGAGTTCTGTCTTCTTACTTCTGATTATGCTTAAGATTGCAAGACAGAGAATGTTTGGAGCACTAGAGAGATAAAGTCCATCTCTCTTGCAAGAAAGTGCTAAGTACACTGCTTTAGAATGAATGGAAAAATAAATGCAACAAATCTGCCCAGAAAGCTTATTCACTTTTTAGAATTAATAACAATAAAAGACTCCAGTGTCTTTAGTTTGCTTTATGAATAGTGCTCCATCTGTTTCACATTTTTATTATTAATATTTATATTATGGTATTGCTTAGATGCTCTTATCAATATTGGGGTTCCACTGAGCTAGTATCTACACCTACATACAGATTCCTGCCCCGAAGGCTTTGTAGTTAAGACCACTTTACCATTGTACTTACCATTATAACAGGCCCAGTGCAGTGATGTATATCCATGATTGTCTGCTATGGCCGGTACCGCATCCACAGATGTTGCTGACTGCAAGAGAGCTCCTAGAACACCAGTATGTCCACATGCAGCTGATAAGTGTATAGGTGTTCGCCCTCGGCAGTCTCGTAGCAAGGACTTAGCACCATGTTGAAGCAATGCTTCCACACACTCCTCATGCCCAGTAACTGCCTGGAAAAGAAAGATACAATATGCATGTGTGCGCACACACACACACACACACGCACGCACACACACACACACACCCCCTCCCCCCCAAAGAAAAAAATATCTGTTATTGCCTTAACATACAATATTGTGAGCAGGCTACTACAAAATAAGTCCAGTCATTTTTACTTAAGTAAGTGGGCATTGCAAAGAAAAATTCAATAATTATTAGCTTAGTGATAGAGTACGTTTTTCTTTTGCGATGGCCAAAGTGATATGCTAATCCCCAGGGCCTCCTTAATTGTAGTATCTGGCATGGACTTTAAAGAAACATTTGGCATCTTGTACATAGAAAACACAAAAAAAGGAGTTATTTTCTTCCTCTCTCCAATACTCTCCCTCACCCCCAACAAAAATGATACCTTGGAATGTTCTAGCTAATGTGCTTCTGCAAGTTGAAGTGAATCAGACGGTACAAAGAACACTGAAGGTAAAGTGCAAAAGGGCAAAAATCTAACCACTCAAATGCAATAAAAGAGAAGACCAACCAAGCACAGTAGAACACTAATGTTAGTGGAATTAAAAAAAAAAAAAAGAATCAAATTCAGCAATGATGCAAACTGCAGACATTCTCAATTTGTATTTAAAATTGATGCACACCTTTTTGGAAATGGCAAAAGGGAAATATTTTCTTACCCCTCTATGTAATGCAGTTCTTCCCCATTTATCTTTGGCATCTACGTTTGCTCCTTTGTTAAGCAATGAATAAACGCAGTCTGTGTGCCCATTGAGAACAGACAGCATCAGAGGAGTCCTGAACAGTGAGACAAAAGAGTAAGAAAAAGTTTCCATGTAGGTTACACTTTAATAGTCTAGTGGTCAGCTAACATACTTAAAACTCCAGAAACAACTTTTGTTCTCCTCCAGAAAGCTCTTCAACAACTGATCCATTAGCGAACATCACTTTGTAAACTAATCTCAAAAGCAGTACTGATATTTTGTTTAGACATAAGAAGGGAAACCTATTTCCAAGAGTGTAACATAAAAAAGCTAATTACATCACTAGAGCCTATTTTCTCAGTGTTTAGTGAACAAAGTAATCTTAATTTGTTTCCTGTGGAATGAGGATCAAAATTCTGTGAAATTTACATGTGTGGTACTCAGACACAAACTACATTAATCCTAGTTAGGATATTGTCCCTCCATTTAAAACAAACAAACAAAAAATCACCAATGGAAAATAAGGACTTTTTTTTGCGCTATGGGGTCCAGAAACTATAATGTAAATTATAGGATGCAATATCTTGTGAAAAATCAGAATAAGGACTTACTGTCCACTTCCATCTTGAATGTCCACTGCATTCTGTGGTTCTGCATTGCCTATCAACAATCGCAAGCATTCTGAATGACCATTTGTAGCTGTAAAATGTTACAAAAACAATCAGCATATCATGTTTATCATCCTTGGGTATGAAAATATAAATAGTATTAACAAAATGAAGATGTCAGCTTCTACTAGAACCATTAATACAAGCACTCATTGGCCATAATGGGGTCAGCATTTATAACTTAATTTGAAAACAGGAAATCTTTGACCTTATATCCAATACTCAAACATGTTTTTAACAATTAAATATTCAAAATCCATAGAACTATATTACAACTGAATAGAATGTGATGGTTTCAAGATATGTGCCATTGTTAATGACTATCTTCTTTTGTATGTAAATAAGGATGAGAATATTAACCATAACTATAGGAACAGTTCATGCCTATGTTAGTTTAACAAGAAATAGTGCTTCACTTTCATTCTTTATATATACTCATTAACACAATTATTTATTTAAAGCAAGTGAGTCCTTGTCTAACCTACCACACAGATTTAATGCTAATATATTGTGTGTGTATTTGTAAGGGATGGGAAGAGAGATCACACTGAAGAGAGGGGCAGGAGAACAGTTACACAATTAGTAGGAGGGATAAGCCAAGAAGAGGAAAGTTAGGGAAACTGTATTTAAAAGGAGTTCTTGAGAGATAAAGTTTGCTTCCTGGGCTACTGCATTGAGCCCCTGGAAGTAGGATACACCTCAGGTTGCTCAGCAACGACCTGTCCGGCAAATCTGAGAATGGTGCTAATGGAAGCTGAAAGGAGGGAGAAAACAAACAGAAGAATAAAACTGGTGTTCAAGGGGAAAAAAAAAAGTGTCTCTCTCTTATGGCGATCTAATATTGTTTATGGACTGCTCTTTTTACCAAGACATTTTAAATGACATTTACTACTATACCATTGGCAACTT